TATTCATGTAAGATATTTACACACAAAATAATAGAGGAGACAACTAGTCCCCATTTCAACCCCATGTATACTATATACATTGATGAAGGAGAACCAACGTATACACACATATCTAGAAAGTAGAAATGAAAAATTGCTACCCATATTCACACAATAACCACATCAGTTGAGTCTTTGATTGACGTAAATTGTAATTCAATGCCAATGCAATATAATTTCAGGAGAAATATGGGTTGTGTTTGGTTAACAAATTTAGTTCTAAGGGATGGGTATCAAAGTGATTGGCCTGGTATTGTTTGATTGATTGGTTTTTGGAACATTACTATGGGTTTCAAATACCCTCTTAATTGAAAAACCTATACTCAAATAAAATAATTAAGGGTATCATCCCCTTTCATTCCTTTATTCCTTTTCACTCCCTTTGATTAGTGCTTTTAGATTTTGATTTATTTTTTTTTTGGTTGTTGTTGTTGTTGTTGTTCATATTGGTGTTTTGGATGTCTTTATATTAGAATCAAATGTCTTAATTTTGCGTTCTTGTATTTTAAAAATCTGTATTCCCATTATTGGATCATACATAACCAAACACCATTATTGATAATCATTCGCATTCCACCCTACTACCAAACATGCAAAATACTTTAACTAAAATCCACTACCATTAACAAGTATTTGATACCCATTCTGATTCCGATTCCCATGTGCGAACCAAACACACCCCATATTGTTTGGTTGGAAGGAAGTGCAATTCAATGAATTGCAATTCATAGGTCATCCATATAAATTGCAATTCATCTATACAAACGAAATGGAAAGAAAGAAAATGACAGATTTGTCCTTGAATATTATTATTAATATTATTACACAAGGGCAGACATTTTAGTCTTTATATCACTTCTTTCTTTTTAATCCCCAATAATTCTATTCTTCCTTATCAAATAATGTAATTTGAATTCATACTTTATTCACACATTATTCTTTTCCTACCGTATTACAATTTCATTCTTCCTTAATTCCTTCCGTCCAACGAAATGTCTTGTAATAGTCTACGTAAGTACAAAACTGGCCTGGAATGGAATGCTATAATGCACAGTGAAATCACATGCTAAGACCATATAGGTACAACATTAACAACATAGTGTACCGCATGTATATATGGTGGAGCATCCTCAGACCGGTGATGTCTTCTCGAACCCATTTTGGCTCATCTTTCACTTCACAATTTAATGTCAACACAGATTCGCACATGGAAATTGAAATCGGAATAGAAGTAAAAGTATTTTGTATATTTGGTGGTAGAGTGGAATTGAAATGATTACCAATATTGATGTTTAGTTGTGTATGACCCTATAATGAGAATAAATATTTAAAAAAAATTAAAAAAAAAATCAAGACAATTGATCCTAATATAATAATATCCAAAGCATCAATATTATGAACAACAACAACAAAAAAGAAAAAAAAATCAAAACAAAATCTGAAAGAACTAATCCAAACTTAAAAATTAAAGTACTAATGGAATGATACGCCATTTTAATTAGGGAATGTAATTTTTAATTGAAGGGGTAATCAAAACCCATAGTTGTATTTTAACAAATTGTCAACCAAACACTAACAATGATTTTGATTATCATTTCTAATGTTAAACTCATGAACCACACTTTGTAATTAATAGCTTAGAATTGATAGGAAAAATTCAACCATTTTCCCAATCACTTTGTAAAATGTCTTACTAACCTTCTATAATTTCTCATTATAAATAATCAGATCTCATCATCTACTCCACCCCTATTTGCCTTAATTAATATGATAGTAGCGAAGACTAGGGCTACTAACCCTCAATCCAATTTTTGCTATCATTGGTGTCTATCCATAGATACCAAAAGAATGTTTCTAATTTCCAAACTCTATCACCGGACCCCACCCCAAACATGGAGAACAGGTTCATAGTAGTAGCATTACTAGAAGGTAAATACTCCTTGCTCTATAAGTGGTTTTACAAGAAGAAAGATGGGATCTTTGGGGTTAATTGAGAAAGCATGATGGAAAACATGGTTGGTTATTTGAGGTTTTGATCAACATGAAGGTATTGAATTTTCTCCACACCAGTTGTGCGACTCTTACATGTTTTAAAAATTATAATTGCTATTAAGAGGGAATAGTATTTTAATAATTAAATGTAATTTTTTTTAGTTTGAAATTTATAAATAAAATAACGAGCGTGAGACAATTTTTTAACACAAAATGTGATTATTAATTTTTAACTTTGTTAGAGTTAAATATAATTATTAATGAAATACTAAAAACTCATTATTAATAACACCGACATTTTTAGGGGTGAATTTGATGGTTGATGTGATAGTTTCATTGAAACATATGCCCCATCTCAACTAAAAGTCTAAATTGATAGTTAGATTGCACTTTAATAATTATATGCTCAACAATTTCGCACTGAAATGGATCCAAACTATAGAGAAAGAGAGGTTGGTGGCAATGAGTTGGTATGGTATGTACTTATATTAAAATTAAATAAATAAAATAATAGGTTGGGTGGAAAATTAATGGTATATTCACTCTTTAAAATCATTACTTACATTTATTTTTTGGGGTGATAGAAGAAACCTACAATCACTACCTTGGACATGTATTGGGTATACTCCACTCTTATTTATAGTCTACAAGTCCTCAGGAGAAGTAAATTACAACTTGTGACTTTCTAATATGAGAATCATGTCTCACCCACTTGGTTATCCCTTTCCAAGGTACTTCATTTATTCTTTATGAGATAACCTATCAACTAGAACCGACGTTAAATGCTCAATTTTATAAAAATAAAAAATATATATATATATATATAACACCGGTTATTTAAATCATTGACGTAAAAAAAATATTATTTTTATTTAATTTATTTACATTTGATGTCGGTTTTGGAATAACTGACGTTATATGTTATTTTGTAGTAGTGATTAGTGAAAGAAATCGGAAAGACTGCCGAGAGAATCTGGAAGAAGGAAAAAGAAAAAAAAAAAAAAAAAACTAACGTGAGGGAGGAAAAAAAATCACGTCAAATTATAAATGTAACATTATTTAAAGTGTAGAAAGTTTAAATTAAGAATAAAACATAGTTAAAAAAAAAAAAAAGATATTGTAGTTGAAATACCAAAATTAAAGTGTCACGTCATGAGTTGCGATTCTACTAGTTTTTTTTTACGGTGAGGTGCTGGGTGATAGTGCGTGTAAAATGACGTTTAACTACCTCAGCTCCCAACTCCCAACTCCCAACTACAAAATTCCATTAGCGCAATCTGTAATCATTTCTTTATTGCCTTAATTCTCCATGTGGATGCAATCAAGAGAGGTATGTGTTTATGATATTATTTCATTTATAAATTAAATATATTTATTTCATCTTATAATGATCCTATTGACAAATTCGCGAGTCTCCAATAAATATTAAGAGTTTTATTGCTATATCAAAATATAAAAATTAAAAGGTGTCACGTAACTAAAAGAGAAAATTACATTATTTTTTATTATTCTCTCTCTCTCTGTATAAAAAAAATAAAAAATAAAAATTATCACCCTATCTATATTGATATCCAAAAAAGTGTAAATTTTTTTTTATTCCAAAAGTAGGACGAAATTTGGTAGTATGAAGTACAAATTCTCGAAAAGAAGAAAGGTTTTCAATGAGAAGTATGAATAGGATTTGATTAATAACACAAATGATCAATTGTCTCAAATTATGCATCTTAAGATATAAAACTAAGCACCTTAAGTTATAAAATCACGCACATTAAGATATAAAACAACGCACCTAAGTTAAAACTAATGCATCTTAAACTAGAAAAGTGACGCACCTTAAACTTTAAATATACACACCTTAAGAAGAAAAATGACGCACCTTAAGCTATGGAAAGATGCATTTAAAGCTTTAGACTGATGCACCTTAAACTAAAAAAAAGTGACACATCTTAAACTTTAAATATATTCACCTTAAGACGGAAAAGGACGCACCTAAAGCTTTAGACTGACACACTTAAAGTTTCAACAAAAAACGCACCTTAAGTTCTCAACTGAAGAACTGATATCGTCACAAGTTTTTTTTTTTTTTTTTTAAATGTACTATTGACTCTATTATAAGGCAGTATCAGTTCTGTACTTTCTCTAACTAATGCAATACAAAAAGTCAATATCCCACCATCGGGGTTCGATCATGTGACCTTCCCTCAAGAGGGAGGAGCCACAAATGTTGCATTTGAGCACAAGATACTTAGCACTATCGTCACGAGTTTGAGAAGTAGATTTTTTACTGGATAAAATTTTTATTTTAAAAGTTATTTCAAAAGTAACCATTTGGTTGAAAAGTAATCTGTTTTATTTTAAATATGTTATGTGTTGTTTTTGATAAATATTTTAATTTTTAATTAAAAATAATAATTATTACTTTAAAAATAGTACATTTGGGCTCAAAAGTTATATGTTTTTACATAAAATACGTTATATGATGCTTCAATTATTACTTATAAAAATATATTATATTGTGTTTAAGAAAATGTAATATTTTTAAAAAGTAAACTTGTTTTTGTGTCCAAACTTATTTTCTAGATCAGTGAGATGGTCTCACATTAATTTTTGTGTCCTAAAATACCCTTAGGAATTTTAAATACTAATTTTTATTACTTATACATTTATTATTAAGTACAAAAATGCCTTTATGTTAGAAACAACAACCAAAAAAAAAATACCATAGAATATAAATGATAAAGGTAAAATAGCAATTTATGTCTCTGATTGTCAATGTATATTAGTGGTTATTATCTTTCTTGACTTTGTATTCCTATTATATAGGTCTTTCTCTATTGTGTAGGCATAGGTTAGGCTTCCTATCTCTATTAGGAATGTGTTTGGTGTAACGTTTCTGTTAATCAATTAATTCATTCTCTCATCTGGTATCAGCTCAGTGTTAGGTTTCTCTCTCCACCCTATTAACCGATATGTCTACGCACTCTTCCGGACGTACGGTTACGGCCGCCACCACCCAATCACCGCCAACCACAAACTCGCTCTCGACCGCCCACCATTTGACAATCACACGACCTGATCTTTCTTTTGCTGTCAATCGCCTGTGTCAGTTTATGCATACCCCTACTATTGATCATTGGGGGCTGCTCAAGCGCGTCTTACGATATATCCGTGAGATGCAAGACCATGGTCTCCGACTTTCGGCTTCATCTTCGTCTGACATACACGCCTTCTCCAATTCCGATTGGGCGGGCTGTCCTATTGACCGCAAGTCTACGAGTGGGTATGCAGTTTTTATTGGGTCCAACTTAATTTCCTGGGTTTCTCGCAAACAGCGAACTGTTGCACGCTCTTCCACCGAGGCTGAATATAAGGGCCTAGCAGATGTCTCGGTTGAGGTTACTTGGGTGGTTTCTTTACTTCGTGAACTGGGACTGCACTCCGGTCGTCCTGCTACTCTTTGGTGTGATAATTTTGGGGCCACGTACCTATGTGCTAATCATGTGTTTCATGCCCGGACCAAGCATGTGGAAATCGATTTTCACTTTGTTCGTGATAAGGTGGCCTCAGGGGAGTTCTTAGTCAACTTTGTGTCTACGAAGGATCAGCTAGCCGATCTTTTCACCAAACCGCTACCAGCGACCCGTTTCGGGATTCTCCGAGACAAGCTCAACGTTGTTTCCCTCCAACCTTGTGCTTGAGGGGGTGTGTCAATGTATATTAGTGGTTATTATCTTTCCTGACTTTGTATTCCTATTGTATATAGGTCTTTCCCTATTGTGTAGGCATAAGTTAGGCTTCCTATCTCTATTAGGAATGTATTTGGTGTAACGTTTTTGTTAATCAATTAATTCATTCTCTCATCCTGATTTATACAAAAAGAGTTAATTTTATTTTTTGGTCATATATTTAAAGGTGACAATTCATTTAAGTCATTTTTTATTAGAACATCCATTTTGGTCCTAATATTATTATGGCATGACCATTTTTGGTTCTTTATCAACAAAATAATTTAAATATCATTAAATACAAGAGCATTTCGGTATTCAATTATGAATTTTTCAAAAAAAAAATAAACATAAAAAAATATAGCAGTTCAATCTACTTTGTATAAAAAAAAATTGAAATATCTTTGTATTTAACGATATTTCAACGATTTTGTTGAAGAATGACTAAAAATAGTCGTGCCACAATAATACTATGACTAAATGAGGATGTTCTGATAAAAAATTGACTAAAAATAGACTATCACCTATAAATTTATGACCAAAAATAAAATTAACTCTATACAAAAATAACACTTCTATTTTTTTTCTTTATATATTTTAATAAAATCAAAACTTTGTATTTCCCAACTTTATGACAAAATTCTACTCCGTATATGTTTTGTCAAATCAGTAGCGTTGAAGTTTCATAGAGCAATAACTAAAGAGATAGGTATTAACTGATCAACTTGATATCGTGATGTTAATGTTATGGAAAATACTTCATATGTAATTCCAAATTGTACTCTTACAAATTGTATTCTTATTTGTGTTCAAATTTGATTGGTGGAAGAAAAAAATGAATGGATAAACAACATGACCCCTATTAAATTGAGCAATCAAAGCATGCCAAATCATAAGGAGTATAAAATGAAAGTATGAATTGAAAGTACATGTAGAATTAGTAGTTATGTTATAGTTTCATTTGCATTAAATGGTCAAAACTACAGTAACCTTATTCGTGTAGATCATATTTTTTTCTCTCAAAAGGTTGAATCCCCACTCTGGCCAGTTTGAAAGGATGTAAATCACGATAACACAGGACCAAATACCGGCACACACAAGAGATTTGCTCACTTTGAACATAATTCCCGCCGCCGAGGCTCAAACCTTGGTCTTTTGTCTCTTCTCTCAAATACTGCGAACCATTGAGTTAAGCTCGTACGGACAAAAAGTAAATCATATTTCTATATCATTAAATTTACAATTTATTCACTATTCTCCCTACATCCTTTCACATGACATTAAAAATTTATCATACTCTCAATAAATACCTTTTTTTATTTCATTCACAAGTATTCTTTTATATCAATATATAAATCATTTTCAAATATTAAAAAAAATCAAAATACATAAAATTATTCGAAATAATTGAAATCATTAAAAGTAAACAAAGTACAAGTTCGAAGACATCCATTCAAATTAAAGAAATTAAATTAAATTACAATTCTATTACATAAAAAATAAAAGTATACTTAAAGCAAACATACAAATTAAAATAATATCATCATATTTATAATTCATTCATTATTTTTTTTGCCCCTGTAATTTCAACTCACTTTCAATAATAATCATATAATTCTAACACTCGTTTATTCTTTAATTTAAATGAATAATTCTAATTCTCGTTTATTATCAAACAGTTAAAACTCTAATTTGTAAAGCAAAATGACACAACTGCCCTCCCGTACTTCCATCCCAAAATGTAGCGAAAGCTAGGCTGCTTTTCTTTTTCTTTTCTTTTTAATTACAATTTTTTGAAGTTTGATATTTAAAAAAAAATAATAATAATAAAATTCATTCGTTAAAGAACACCCGCTTTCGATGGTGAAACATCATACGTTTCATCAACTCCCCCGACATTCGGCCGAAAGCAATAGTATTAGCCTAAAAATTATCTGCTTGCCCTTTGAAGGTCCCTTTGCCTGCCAGCCAGCCAATTATACCTTCAAAATTGATGTTTTTTTTTATTATTATTTTTTATTTTTAATAAGAGTTAATTACTGAAATGGTCCATTGATTATAGTGAAATTATCAATTTGATCCTTGACTACTTTTTTGACCAATTAAGTCCCTCAACTTTAAAAATCTTAACCAATTTGGTCCTCCGTTTGTTTGATCGCTAGTCAACCGTTAACTTGGGACCAAATTGGTGATTCGCAATAGTCAAGGGACCATTTTGGTAATTAACTTTAAGGGTGGACAATTCGGTTTAGTTTTCTCGAACCGAACCGTACCAAATAAAACATAAAGAAATCAAATAAAACATTTGCGAGAGATACCTGTGAGAATATGAGCTGAACGGCAGAGTAAGCAGCAAGGGACTTGGATTTATTTATTTATTAATTTATTTATTTATTAATTAATTATTATTATTATTATTATATTTTTTTTTAGAAAATCAGACGATAATTGGTTCAGTTCAATTTTTTACCTAACAATTCGGATCGATTTTGAATCGAACCGTTCGTTATACAAAAATCCAATACCGTTCGATTGTTTGATATATTACCGAACCAAACTAGTTCGGTTCGGTTCAATTCGAGAAAACTAAACCGAATTGCCCACCCCTAAATTTAATTACCAAAATGATCCATTGACTATTTTTTTTCAGATTTTTGGGTGAGGTCCACTTTTGAAAGAAAGGGGAAAACTTGGGCAAATTGTTCGACGTCTAAAAGGCATGTAATGCCATTAGTTTTTTTTTTTTTTTTTTCCTCTATTAGAATTTATTATTAGTTCCCCCCCCCCCCCCCCCCCCCCCCGCACCCCCACCCCCCTTATTCTAACTTGATTCTATGAAAAACCCACAAAAATCTACAACTATTACAATACGTTTGGTTCAAGGAATGAATTTTGAGGTAATAGGAATGCTATTCTATAAGGAATAGAATAGGTAAGGAATAGAATAGTACTCTGTAATTGTATTATATTGTTTGGTTCGCGGAAGGAATAGACTTTAGGATTTATATTACAGTGTTTGGTTGGTTTAAGGAATAGAAATGAAATATGTTTTAAAAGACATAAATACCCTTATAAAAATATGTGATGGTGGCGGTGGCGGCGGTGGTGGTGGTGGCGGTGGCAGTGATAGTGGCGGTGTTGGTGGGAGTGGTGGCGGTAGTGGTGGTGAAGATGGTGAAATAGGAAATAAATTCAATTGGGGTAAAATAGAAAATAACAACTTAGACTATTCCTGAGAAATCAAGAATAGCCTAATACCAAACCCCCCCCCCCCCCCCAAGAATCTCTATTCCTCTTACAATGGGTAATATGTCATTCTCAGGAATGTTTTTACCAAATAAAGGAATATACCTAATACTGGGAATGCTATTCTATTCCAGACCTATTTCGCGAGCCAAATGTGCCATTAAGGTTGCTCTATCGAGGATACTCTTATGGGGCGTTTGGTTCAGGTTATATTACATAATCAAGGGAATGTGACATTCCCAAGCTTACATTTCTATGTTTGGTTCATATTCTGTGAGGGAATATAACATTCCCTCCACATAGGATTTTGAAAGGAACGTGATTCCCTTCATTTTCTTAGGTTATTTAAGATCACATTGGATATTTATAAATTCTGTCATTTTAATTCTAATTATTTTAAAAAAAATATATTTTATGTTAGCTTATATATATATATATATATATATATATATAAAAGCTAACATAAAATATATTTTTTTTAAATAATTAGAATTAAAATGACAGAATTTATAAATATCCAAGGTGATCTTAAATAACCTAAGAATTAAAATGACAGAAAATGTAAGTTCGGGAATATATATATATATATATATATATATATATATATATATATATATATATATATATATATATATAGTATAATATTCTTAACATATTTTCATATATTTTAATAAATTTAAAATTTAAAATAAATAAATAAGATAACAGTATACTTTCAAAAAAAAAAAAATAATAAGATAACAGTATAATATATAATTACATAATTTTAAAATATTAAATAAAATCTTGAACTTGAAAAAAAAAATTATTTTATATACTAACATAACATAATATATATTTTTTATTACGTTATGTTAGTATATAAAATAATTTTATTTTTCAAGTTTAAGATTTTATTTAATATTTTAAAATTATGTAATTATATATGATACTGTTATCTTATTTATTTATTTTAAATTTATTAAAATATATGAAAATATGTTAAAGATATTATACTATATATATATAAAAGATAATCATAAACCAAACATGATTATATTACATATCTCAATTTTAATTAAAAACAAGAATCTGACATTTCCAACAATCTAACATTCCTAGGTAATCTAACATTTCGTAAATGAAACTGCCCCTTATACTACATATTATTATTATTATTATTATATGTGAATGTGAATAGTAGTCCGTGTAGAAAGTAGGTGGTGCACGCAAAAAAACGTCATCAGTCATCACTCATAAAATTCCATTTGGAAAAAGGAAAATGGGGAGACGGGGTGGGGTGGGGTGCTTTCTCAAAATTTATTGAAGCTTTTTGGAGAGTGGACAGAGTGGACTGCGCCAGACAATTATAAGCAGCAGATCAATCAATCAGATATAAATACTCATTACACCCACCTCATTCATTCTTCCTTCCTACTCACTATATTCATACTCTTTACACTACTAATACTAATTCACTAAATTCTGCTTCTCCTCTTCACACCGCCGATTCACCAGCTCCTTCAATTCAAACCAAAAATGGAGTTCTCTCCCGGAGGAAGGGGACTCAGCCTTCCTCTCATGGCTTGTTTCGCCGCTGCTTTGTTTCTTCAGGTACCGGAATTCTTCTTTGCATCCACGCAATTCTGTCAATGTCTGCTCACTAAGCGACAAAATTTTACCTGTTTCACTTTTTTGAAGGAAGGATAAAGGATTCCTGTTCCGATTGATTTGGACCTTTTTTGCAGAATTGTAGTTTATAATTTTGAGAGTCTTTGGATTTGTGCAGCAGATATTTGTTTTGTTTTCTATTTGTAAAATTTTCATGGAGTAACTGAACTTGAAGATGAAGCATTTTTTTTTTAAGGAGTATGTTTATTCAGCTTACAGAACCATGCATTTTGTAGGTCTTCTTAAGTGTTTCTAAGGTGACAGCCCAGACGTCCAATGGGTAAGTTACATCTGATATATCTTTATTTTTTTTTAATATAATGTTTTTGGTAGTGTTTCTGTTTTCTGAAACTCTGAAAGTAAAGCTTAGGACCACTCTAATAACTTAAAGTCCTACAAAGTTAGGTTCAATTCATATGAAATGTTGGTTGTTGTTGTTGACTTGTTGCCATATTTTGTATTGTTAATAAACCTGAATGCTTCAATTCCTTCACATGGTTAGGGAAAGACATTCTGAAGGATATTGTGCCATGTATGACATTTGTGGACACCGCAGTGATGGTAAAGTTCTGAATTGCCCCTTTGGTTCCCCGTCTGTTAAGGTAAATACTGTTGGATAGTCATAGATGAAGCATTGACATCTTCGATTATTGCTTCTTTTTCTGTGATGAAAAATCTGAACGCTACTGAAATTAGAATTCCTTTTCTTTCTTCTTTTTCTTCTTTACAGCCCGATGATCTGCTCTCATCCAAGATTCAAAGTTTGTGCCCGACTATTACTGGAAATGTCTGCTGTACAGAGGCTCAGTTTGACACTCTAAGATCACAGGTCCAGCAAGTAAGATGGTTATGCCTTAATTAATCCTACTTCATTTGATATATTTCTAAGTAATAAGTTTTTTCTCAACAATTTCCGTGTGTTAATATCTTTTGCAGGTAATCCCGTTTCTTGTAGGATGTCCAGCATGCTTGAGAAATTTCTTGAATCTATTCTGTGAGCTTACATGCTCTCCAAACCAGAGTCAGTTTATAAATGTGACATCTGTTTTAAAAGTCAGTACTTAATACATCTTTTGAATTCCATATTTCCAATTCTTCAAGACAGTTGCTTTCTTTATAATTATCAGTTATATTTATCTATCTCACTACATTGCAAGTAATCCTTAAAGATAATCTATATGATATTGTGCTAATCAGAACAAATATTAAAAATTCTATGCATACAACGCAATTAGGATTAATTGTGTTTGTGATACATACACTTTTACTGGCCTCTAGCATTGATTTATTTTCCAAATATTTCTTGCTAGTAAGATTTTATTACTAGTCTCTAATTGGCTTTGGGTAACATACATCATTTTCTTTGTCATCCATTACTTTCAGGTTATGAACAATTTCACTGTAAACGGGATAGATTATGTTATAACGGACACTTTTGGTGAGGGTTTATATGAATCCTGCAAGGAAGTAAAGTTTGGCAGTATGAATACTAGAGCAATTGAATTCGTTGGTGCAGGTGCTAAAAATTTTAGAGGTAATACTCCTTGGGCCTGGAAACAAAAATTACATCTAAACTCTATATATTTTCTGTGTTGTGAGCAAAATTGATGGTCTCAGTATGTTTGTTGATATTGAGTGCCGATATTGACAGAATGGTACACATTTATTGGTAGAAGAGCACCACCTGCTGCACCAGGATCGCCATATGCAATTAATTTTAGATCAACTCCTCCTGATTCTTCTGGGATGAAACCTATGAATGTTTCTACATATTCCTGTGGAGACACTTTACTAGGCTGTTCTTGTGGTGATTGCCCTTCGTCTTCCGTATGCTCAAATGCAGCTCCTTCTCCAGCTCAAAAGAAAGGTTCCTGTTCAGTGAGTTTTGGGTCTCTCAAGGTGAGAGTAGCTTAATTATACCCAATCAATTATTTTAGTTCTCTTGGATGTGGACATCTGAAAGTGTACACATAACTAGTGTAATACTTGCATTTTTATTGAATTATATAAATTAAATAAAGCTATTGCGTTCTGCTTTAATTAATGCAGGCAAGGTGTATTGAAGTTGCTGTAGCTATAATTTATGTGATATTGATCTCCGTTTTTCTTGGATGGGGTTTTCTTCATAGCAGAAAAGAGAGGACTCCAGCTTCTAGAACAAAACCATTGGTCAATGCTCCTGATGCTGGTGTTATCCACCAGGTTAATGGTAAAAAAGATGAGAATGTCCCAATGCAGGTGTGCCCTAATGATGCCCTTCTTTTTTTATTCTTTTGAGTTTTGGATGGTGGTACCTCTCACATTTTTATCGTGATTTCACAGAGCTTGAGTATTTAGTGATTTTAATTAAACAAACTCATTTGATAAAAGAAAAGAAAAATGTTGAACATTGTCCTATTCAGTGTGTGTGGAGGTCACTTCTGAGGTTAGAAGGAAAGTCAAATATGTGCATTTTGTAACTTTTAACTCCACCTTAGGAGCATGCTTCTCTGTATATTTCTGGAACAGTTTAAGTTATTACAATCCTAATATGTTTGTTCTTCCCTGTTGTTTGTAAATTTTTCAGATGCTCGAGGATGTCCCCCAAATATCGAGCGGTGTTCAACTTTCACTTGTGCAAGGATATCTATCAAAGTTTTATAGGTAATCCTATTGAATTGTTATTGGATATATCATAATTAGGTATTTTTTCTTCTAGAAATCTTGATATTAGTGTTTTTTTTTTTCCATTAGGAAATATGGAACTTGGGTTGCTAGGAACCCAGCCCTGGTATTGTGTTCATCATTGATCATTGTTCTGGTACTTTGCTTGGGTTTATTCCGCTTTAGAGTTGAAACAAGGCCTGAGAAGGTATGATGCATGATTCAAATATTTTATTTGTTATTTTGTTTTATCTCACTTTACCTTTTCTTGCTCAATATGTGATGATTATGCTCACTGTTGCAAAAATCGCGCCTAGGCGCTAGGCGCCCGCCTAGAGCGCTCTAGGCGCCTTAGGCGGTCCCCAGGCGCCTAGCGATTTTTTCAACATTGACTATGCTGCATTTCTTATTGTGATTTCTGCTTTTGAGTAGGATTAAGTTGCAGTAGGTGTTATTGGTTCTTTGTGTTTCAGTAGGTTGACAAAATATATGAACAGATACTACATTGTAATAGAGCGAGTAACATTCCAAAAAAAAAAAGTTGCAGTAATTAATGCTTAGAAAAAGGAGTTAAACTTGTGTTTCACCTCCCTGTGTTAGGATTAAGTTGTCATGACGCAGTTGTTTGGAATTCATTATCTGTAGTATAAATGAGCTAACATTCAATCCTTATTCTATTGCAGCTATGGGTTGGCCATGGCAGTAGAGCCGCAGAAGAGAAGGAATTTTTTGACAGCAACCTAGCACCTTTTTACAGAATTGAGCAGGTTATATTTTGTTGCTTTCAATCATGGTATCAGAGTAAAAAGTATTCAAAAAAAAAAGCCAGGTATCAGAGTCTAACATGGTATTAGAGCTTGTTCGGTCCAGTGTTGATAAAATAAGTGAGTGACATTGATCTATGGTTGAATTCAATCTTTTAGTGTGGTTACTGTGGTATGGTCTATGTACATCATAGCCCAGTTGAGTGACCTTAGCCCAATCTTAATTTATAATATGGTATCAGAGCCATCTCAATTTCTAACCTGGTATCAAAGTCTAACATGGTATCAGAGCCCGTTCGGTCCAGTGTTAATAAAATAAGTGAGTGACATTGATCTATGGTTGAATTCAATCTTTTAATGTGGTTTGGTCTATGTACATCATAGCCCAGTTGAGTGACCTTAGCCCAATCTTAATTTCTAACATGGTATCAGAGCCATCTCAATTTCTAACAATAAGTTATAAAGTTGTATTCTGTACTTTTCCCCTTTAGTTTCATCAGAATGTCTTTCTAGTCTTCCTTTTAACTTGATAATCTATGTATTTGATTTATGCGTTTTATGTGTGTATTTGTAATTTTTCATTTTCTAAACCTAGCTTCTATAGCCTCCATATACTCAATAAGCGGTTGGTTACATATGATCTTTCATTGGGGGAGTGTAGCAGCCTAACTATATTTGACATTTTGACTAGACTAACACCTCACATATTTTGCAGCTCATAATAGCTGTAAATCCTGACATGAAGAATGGGAAATCACCCCCAATTGTTACAGAAGACAACATCAAGTTGCTTTTTGACATACAAAGAAAGGTGATATCTTTTATGCAAATCATGTACCTTAATAGGCTATAAGATATTCTGAGAGTATATACTTTTGTCATTATTTTGCTTTGCATACTGCAGTTATTTAACCAAGTGAAGTCATGATCCTCTGTTTTTTATCTTCATTGACAAAAACTAAATGTGCGCTGTTGAAATAGGTAGATGCAATCAAAGCTAATTATTCTGGATCGGTTATTTCTCTTAATGATATTTGTATGAAGCCACTTGGCAAGGATTGTGCTACTCAAAGTATTCTTCAGGTAAGACAGTATTTTATATAAAAATTGCTGTTATGGTTGCCTGCTTGTCCTGTATTCCTGTGATGTATGTCATTGAAAATAGATTTCAAACTTCTATTAGTCAGAGATACATGTCTGACTCTGAGTTAGAATCTATGGCACTTTCAAAATTTCACATATCCGAATGACTGAATCCATAAAAGTTTTCTTCGTTATGAAGTATACAGCTACTACTGGTAGGAAGCATTTTTTACTCCAATTATAAAATGGAAAGATGTCATCCAAAATTGTGATACCATTTACTTGTAGAAGTCAACATGGACAACAGTTTGATGTAAATGTCTTTTATAAAATTCTTGTTTGTGGGAAGCAGAAAATGGTCCCTGCGAAGGTGCACAAAAGAACCTTAGTTGCCTAAGAAACCTGGAGCAACTAACTAAGATAATTGTCACTAAAAATGAGCTCAAAATATTTCCTAATGTTGTTTGGTTTGGCACATGGACTTCTATTTTGCAGGCTTACTAGCGTTTTTTACCCTTAATTGGACTAAAATTTGGCTTGATTTGAGTTTTCAATAACTCATTCTTTAACATTACTTGCCAAAACTTGTTGATTGCGGACATATTGCTCCCTTCATATATCTTTTGTGATTGATTTAGACCTGTTTGGTGTGTAGTATTTCAAGATGAATCCTGCAAATTTTGATGATTATGGGGGTATTGATCACATCCAGTATTGTTTTGAGGTATGCCTCAAACTATATAGTGCAATCTTGAACCACTTTCCCCATCCCCTCTTTAGTTCCTCTGAGACATTCACTTAATTTGCTTTGTTTTATTACTCTTCTAATCTCTCTTTTGTTGTAAATGAGCAAAAAGAGTACTGGGAATAGTTTACTCATCTTGAACTGACCTAAATGGAACTTGATAGTGTTGGGAATATATCCTGTTCCCCATTTCTTAACATATAATTTAATTTCCTGTGAAGAGACACCCTGAATAGAAGAAAGAAATTAAAGAAATCATTTCATCTAGACTACAACATCTACCTTCATAGGGTGAAGTGACCAATGTTTTGCCCTAACATACACTGATTCCTCTATTCTACCTTTCGTTCTATTTACTTGTTTAGATTTCCTTGAAATAAAGCTAATGATGTTTAACCAAAAAAAAAAAAAAAAAAAGAAGGAAAAAAGGGCCAGCTGCTTTTACTTCAATTCTTCGATTCTCCTTTCTCCAGTTTTCTAATCTCCATTCTCTGTTTTTTGAATTGGAAAAAAATGTACAAGTAAATGTATTCTTTATTTTCTTTTCTCTAGTTTTCCATTTCTCCACTTAGTAAATGCACAATATTTCTCTTTTTGGATGTTTCTTTAGCACTATACTTCATCGGAACAGTGTATGAGTGCCTTTAAAGCTCCCCTTGATCCAAGCACTTCTCTTGGTGGCTTCTCTGGTAAAAATTACTCTGAGGTAATTCATTTCTCTTTTACTATTTTGCATGAACCACTAGTTGTATATTAAGGGCACAACATTGTTTTTGGTACAGGCTTCTGCATTTATCATAACCTATCCTGTGAATAACGCAATTGACAAAGAAAGCAATGAAACTAAAAGGGCAGTTGCCTGGGAGAAGACTTTCATCCAGTTACTTAAGGTTGAATTCTTCTTCTTGAATTTATTTATACATAAACTGATAGTGACTACAGTGGTGGATGAAATAAGGCATTGCAAGGATTTCCAATTGTGCATTTTAGGTAGTGTTCTTTTGACTAGGAATCTCACTCCTATCATGCTTGCTTTTGTATTTAAGACTAAATTATTCTTTCAATAATTGTACAACAATTTGAACTAAATTGAAGAACTTTTAAAGAATCAACTAATTAATGATGGTGAATGCTGCAAAACCTTTTTTGAAGGAAAAAATGTTGTAGACACTTCACTACTGACAAATCTTTACTCTGTATGGTGATGGCCTTCTTGTTCTTACTACATTTACATGCAAACTCATCCATGGGATATATGGACATGAAAACTTTTATACAGGATGAAATCTTGCCAATGGTGCAAGCAAAAAATTTGACACTAGCATTCTCATCCGAAAGCTCTATTGAAGAGGAACTGAAAAGAGAAAGCACTGCAGATGCTATAACTATATTGGTAACTCTTTCCTCTATGCAATTTGAAATTTTTTAGTTTAACCTGTGTGTGTGTGTGTGTGTGTTTTTATTTATTTATTTTTTATTTTTTTTTTTAATTAGGTTGTGATGTCCACTCTTTACCGAAAGGAAACTTGAAAATTTTGTAGTTAATGGTGTAGATTTAATTTATAAATTGTTATTTTGTTACAAGCCTTCTCTTATGCAAATATAAATGTTTACAGTTGTTTTGTTCCAGATAAGCTATCTTGTAATGTTTGCATACATATCGTTGGCTTTGGGAGACACTCCTCAATTCTCTTCATGCTATATATCATCTAAGGTATGCTATTATAACCTTATTATTATCTTTCTGTATTACGCATTTTAATACTTTCTTGTTAACTCAATGAATGAATACATCTTTCAGCTTTCCATTTGATCCTGTTTCTCTTTCATATTCTTTTGTTGGTGAAGATTTTGTATTTAAATGCTAGGTCTTCTCAGTTCTCACCTAAACACTTTAATCAGAAGCATCCAAAACCCTGCCAATCTCAAAAGAGATGTCTTGTTTCAGGTTTTGCTCGGCCTTTCAGGAGTTGTGCTTGTCATGCTCTCTGTTCTTGGATCAGTTGGTTTCTTCAGTGCTTTGGGAGTAAAATCAACACTCATTATAATGGAAGTCATCCCTTTCCTTGTTTTGGCGGTAAAATTGCATTCTTTTAAATATACTTGTACTATTTTTTTTTTTTTCATGCTATTGTTAATATAATGTGGTGTTTTATTACCATAAGCTGCTGGCCACAGAACTAGTTTAATATAATTTGGCCTAACCCTTTTATTACTACTATTTGAACAGTGGGTTGAAAAATGAAATTAGCATTAGGCGAACCTTTTCAATACTTGGTTATCTTAACCTTTGATATCTTTTTTTCTTTTGTCATTTCATATTCCAAGATCATTGACCTTCATGATTTTTAGGTTGGGGTAGATAATATGTGCATATTGGTACATGCCGTTAAAAGACAGGCAGTTGAGTTGCCTCTAGAAGGACGAATAAGTAATGCTCTTGTAGAAGTTGGACCATCTATTACACTAGCTAGTCTATCAGAGGTTTTGGCATTTGCAGTTGGGAGTTTCATTCCCATGCCAGCTTGTCGTGTGTTTTCCATGTTTGCTGGTAATGATTTCTCATCTATTTCATGTAGCTGATGCGATTACTATGTGTCAGTCTTGCCCTTTTTCGGGTTTCTCAGTATTTTTTTTTTGTTTTTGTTTTAATTTTTGTAGCGTTGGCTGTTCTGTTGGACTTCCTTTTGCAAGTTACTGCTTTTGTTGCGTTGATTGTGTACGATTTTCTGAGAGCTGAAGATAACAGGATTGATTGTATTCCATGTGTTAAAGTTTCTGGTTCAAATTCTGACCCTGACAGAGGTTAATGTTCCAACTTTTCACCTCGACCACTTTAATTTATTTTTTTCGAAGGATATCATTACCACTCATCATCTCACTTTTGTAATAAAAGCACAAGCTTGACTATTTATGGATTGCAGGTAGTCATCAAAGAAAACCTGGATTGTTGGTTCGATATATGAAGGTATGAAGAATTCTTTACTACTATAGGAGATTTCAATTCTCGAGTAATTGGGTTTTGTTTCACTACTATAGGAGATTCATGCACCGATATTAAGTCTGTTGGGAGTGAAAGTACTTGTCATATCCGTCTTTGCTGCGCTTGTGATGATGAGCATTGTAAGTCATTTCCCTTCACTCTTTGCAACTACACACTTCTTTTATCTCAAGTTTTATTTGCTTGCTATAGACTAGAATATTGATCTCATGATGCTTTCTCTTCTCAAAGGCACTATGTACGAGGATTGATCCTGGTCTAGAACAACAAATTGTTCTTCCTCGTGATTCGTATCTCCAGGTTTGATTTTACCCTAGCAAATTTGTCCGTCATGAAGCATTGTCTAAAAATGGTGCTTGCATGTAATAACAACATTTCTAATTTTTTAGGGTTACTTTAGTAATATCTCCGAGTATCTCAGAATTGGACCACCGCTGTACTTTGTTGTGAAAAACTATAATTACAGGTACGTGGTGTTTTACAGCCTTAAAAGCCTTCTGTTTCCTTTTCCTCTTGAACAAAATACCTTGAAATAAAATCCATATCATATACAATATCTAATGTAAGGGAATTTCTCGAAGTTTGTCCCGGTGGGTTATTAAAGCTATAGTTATGTGAATGTTGTTTCGTTCCCCTCAGTTCAGAATCAGGACAAACCAACCAGTTGTGCTCTATCAGCCATTGTAATTCAGATTCTCTTTTGAATGAGGTAACACTCATTTTTCCTTCACTATGGGTACCTCATCTATTGCTTCAGTGCTTGAAAGTTGCTTCTTCTACAGATAACAAGAGAATCTTTAAAACCGGAGTCGAGTTACATTGCTAAACCGGCTGCTTCTTGGCTCGATGATTTTCTAGTTTGGATATCTCCGGAAGCTTTTGGTTGCTGTCGGAAATTTACAAATGGGAGTTTTTGTCCTCCTGATGACCAGGTACAGTTATTTTTGGTCTAAAATTTCATATATATTTACTAAAAGTTAAAAAGTTTATCCTTTCAGCCTCCTTGCTCATCCAGCGAAGGTTCCTCTGGCTTGACTGGCATATGCAAGGATTGCACAACGGTAATCCGTAAAAGTTTTTACTTTTGCTGTTTTGTGCATTGAAACAAACTGTGTTCTTATTCTAACAATGGTCTTTCCTGGTTTTGGTATTTAGGTTTAAAATCATTCGGTATTTTATTTTAATTCTATTGTGCTAGACTTTTATCCATGAACCGATGGTTTATGCCTGACACTTGCGTTTTCCAGTGTTTTCATCACTCGGATTTAGCCAATGACCGTCCAACAACTGCGCAATTCAAAGAGAAACTCCCATGGTTCCTGAGTGCTTTACCTTCTAGTGATTGTGCTAAAGGTGGTAATGGGGCTTACACTAGCAACGTGGACCTTAAAGGTTGAACCATCTGCATACTTATTTTGTGTTACGAAAGTGAAGAGAGAGAGTTTCTAATGTGCTGTCGTATATTGTCTCAAACTGTCATTAGAATAGAGAATATAAAGCCCCCTATAAATAGGTACTAGAAGACTACGAATAGGAAACAAGTTTCCATATGTACCCTAAGACTGCCTAATCTATAGGGATTCTATATATCAAATATATATTCTATATTCCATAACATTTTGCATGCATGTTTTTAAATTGATTTTTAGCATGTTATACATCTCTGCAGTGTCTCCAATTGGATGGCTGAGTCAAGTTTTACATTATCTCTGTTCTCCTTGTTTCTTGCACCCACCCTTCCTTGGATTTGAATTTAAATGATTATATCATGTCTTCAGGCTATGAGAATGGTGTTATTCAAGCATCAGCGTTTCGTTCATATCACACCCCTCTTAACAAGCAAGTATGACGACAAAAAAAAGAATATTTCACTTTTTATTCTTTTCAGTTTTCCTGCTTTTCATTTTGTTTTACTTTCAGGTTGACTTTGTTAACTCAATGAGGGCAGCCCGGGATTTCAGTTCCAGAGTTTCTGAGACCTTGAAGGTAATTAGATTTATCCTGGCATGATAAGAGTCGATTGGGCAAGCTTGTTTTGTTTTGTTGTTGTTCCTATTTTTTTTGTTTTTTTTGGCTGTTGACTAATCTAGACAAATTATCTGGTGCAGATGGAGGTCTTCCCATATGCTGTATTTTATATGTTCTTTGAACAATACCTGAACATATGGAAGACAGCACTAATCAGCCTTGCCATTGCTATTGGTTAGTAATATCAGAATGACTTGTGCTGTTTTAATGTTCTGCAAAATTAGAGTTTCATTTATATATTTACTACTTACTGTATTGCTTCAAAGCCTTTTTAAATTATACATTCTTGTTTAATATCACTGGGACTTCGAAGTTTTATTTAGTTCATGGGGATTATATGAACATAACTCATTCTGGTTTTTTTTTTTTTTTCTTGTCTCAATTTAAACAGGTGCAGTCTTTCTTGTATGCTTAATCATCACATGCAGGTTATTTTATCTTATCGTGCTTCTCTGTTACATTCCCCCGCTGTTCTTTAAAATCATCTTTAACTGGACTGTTTCTTTATCTAATTTACAGTTTTTGGACTTCGGCAATCATCTTACTTGTGTTGGCAATGATTGTTCTGGATATAATGGTACATTCTCTTGACAATTTATAGGAGAATGCTTCTTTACTTTGACTTTTTCCCTAGATCCAATCCATTTATGGATACATCTTGCAGGGCGTAATGGCGATCCTGAATATCCAACTAAATGCAGTCTCTGTTGTTAACCTTGTAATGTCAGTGGGTATTGCGGTGGAGTTTTGTGTGCACATCACACATGCTTTCTTGGTCAGTCTTTTGTTCTTTCACGTATCTGAAAAACATCCGTTTTTTTTTTTCTTTCATAAAATAATTAGAAGTAAAGAGCTTGGTGTTTATTCATATTATTATATGTTCTCTATATCTGTTCAATCAATATAGACTTCATTCTCATGTATCTTTTGAGTTGTGAAAGTAAACACGCGATCATTGCAGGTAGCCAGCGGAGACAGGAACCAACGCATGAAGGAGGCGTTGACCACTATGGGGGCTTCTGTATTCAGGTTTGACAGTGTTACGAAAGTGAAGAGAGAGAGTTTCTAATGTGCTGTCGTATATTGTCTCAAACTGTCATATAGAATAGAGAATACAAAGCTCTATGAATAGGAGCTAGAAGACTGCGAATAGGAAACAAGTTTTATGTCCTACCTACCTAAAACCCTAAACTGCCTTTGTTCTTTTCCCTCTTTTGCAGTGGCATCACACTTACTAAGCTAGTTGGGGTGCTTGTTCTTTGTTTCTCGAGGACAGAAGTTTTTGTGGTACTTGAGAGCGTGCATTGGATTTCGTAAGCCAAATATTGCATATTCTTGTGTCATTACCTGAACTTTGACTTCCCTTTTTGCAGGTTTACTACTTCCAAATGTACCTGGCTTTGGTTATTCTTGGCTTTCTGCATGGTCTAGTCCTTTTACCTGTAAGAGAACAAGCTCCTTTCTATTTTTAATTTTACACTTCAGAAATCTGAGTGCTTGTGATTTTGAACATACCCCATTTGATAACCTCTCTTTATTTCAATTTCTGCTTACTGCTTAAGCTTTAGTAGTGTTAAGAGTCTCACATTTGATAAAATAAGAGAGAACATATGGGTTTATGAGGCCATTGGTTAGACTAGTTAATTGGTTGGATTCAATCTTTTAGTGTGGTTTGGTCCATGTGTATTATAGCCTAGTTGAGTGACCCTAGCCTAATCTTTGTTTATAACGCGTAGTAACCCCATGGCAAAAGACCAAGTGAGTTACATTAAACTTCCGTTTGCAGGTATTACTGAGCATGTTCGGTCCGCCATCAAGGTGCGTGCTTGTGGAGAAGCAAGAGAGTCACCCATCTACATCCTCGCAGATCTAATCGATCGAGAACCATGTAAGGCTAACTTTTGTAGGATTCAGAGGCCTTGCTCCCTCCCCTTTGGAAGAGAAGCAAAATCAGTCCATTGGAATACTGTTGAAATGTAAAATATAACTTTAAAGGTTCAATGAAAGGGGGGACTGGTATACAAGTCAGTTCTTTTTCCTGTCTCTACTGTGTAAAACTGCATAGGTATGGTTACAGTCTTACAGAACATTTTCTAAGAGTTGTATATAATGTACTATCCCTTACCTATTTTACTTGCTTTTGGAATGTCAAGAAAATTTCAGCAATCCACATTGTCTTTTCACTACCTGAATGGTTAGGTATGTATTGGCAGCTCTAATTATAATATTTATATAGGAATTAGTTCATGTGTAAAGACTCTCTAGGTGAAAGATGGGTGAAATTTGAGCCGCTAATCTAATCTAAATCAACGGTTCAAATCAAGAAAAATTATTAAAACAATGCGCTTCTGCCAACATTCACAAGTCTTCTGTATCTCTTCCTTTTCTTTCCCTCTTTTCTTCTGCTTGTTGCAAGGTTTGACACAATTCCTGGAAAGATTCTTCTTCATGTATTGTTTCTTTGGCCAGAAAAAAACTGTTGAGTCGTATCTTCATGTCATTTCGAACAAAATCTCGTATATCAGTTTTAGTTTTGATTCCAAAAGCAGGACGAAATTTGGTAGTATGAAGTACAAATTCTCAAAAAGAAGAAAGGTTTTCAATGAGAAGTATGAATAGGATTTGATTATTAACACAAATGATCAATTGTTTCAAGCTATGCATCTTAAGATATAAAACTAAGCACCTTAAGTTATAAAATCATGCACCTTAAGATATAAAACAACGCACCTTAAGTTCTCAACTTTAAATATATTCACCTTAAGATGGAAAAGGACCCACCTTAACCTATGGAAAGACACACCTAAAACTTTAGACTGAAACACTTAAAGTTTCAACAAAACACGCACCTTAAGTTCTCAACTAAAGAACTGATGCCTCTTAAGCACAGAAACCACACACCTTAAGAAGGAAAACGACGCAGCTTGACGACACACTTTAAGTTTAACCAATATGCAAAAAGACCAAATTGTCACTGTTTTTTTTTTTTTTTTTTTTTTTTTTTTTTAAGTTTTTCTTCAATCTGGACTATTGATTTTGATTAGATCAAGGGCTGAGATTAAATCTATATTTTACCTGAAGCCTATTACCGCATTTTATCTCTATTATATATATATATATATATATATATATATATATATATATATATATATATATATATATATATATATATATATATATAGAGAGAGAGAGAGAGAGAGAGAGAATCTTATAAAACATTATAGAAATCATATGATTGTATAAAATTTTAGGAAATATTTTAGAGATATAATCATTGTCATACGATCAAGTAGATGTCCATCGTCTATTGGGGAGGTAGAATAAGTATAAATAACCTCATGTGGCTCATTTTGTAACAATCCAAGTACTTATAAAGCAAAAATGTTAAGGGTCAAGTCATCGAATTGCATAATGCAATTAGGTCACGGAACTTAAAAAACCTACAATTGAATTCCTAAACTAACCAATTTCATACAATTCCTCCCATTTATAGATTTCTAACAAGTCACTTCAAATTTAAAATATTTTTTATAAAATAATTTTTTTTCCTTCAATAAGCCAAAGCTTTTATTACTGAAAAGAGGCATAAAGCCATACAAATGCCTTCGGCCCAAAAGTGCTCAAATCAACCACGCAAAAAATAGCTTAACCTCCAACAGCACAAAGGCCTTACAATCTAAATGGGCAATGCATAGCCAAAACTACAACAGAGCCCTAAACAAGAAAAGGTCCAAAAGGACTAAACAACAAAGACCTAAGCTATAAAATAGGGCAAATTATGCCCTGGACCCGTGTCCACAATTCATTGTGGACACGGGTCCAAAACGACGTCGTTTTTCAAAAAAAACGCGTCATTTAGTTAAAAAAAAATTGTGCGCGTTTTGCCGTTAACGGCGTTAATGACGTTATTTTTTTTTGGATTATGAATGTACAATTATGCCGTTATGAATGTACACTTATGCAATTATGAAATTATGAACATAGAGCTCTAACATTATGAACTTACAATTATGAACATATATAGTGATAAAATTATGACCATGAAGCTTTAAAATTGTGAATATAGAGCTTCGAAGATTATGAATGTACAATTATGGAGTTATGAATGTACAGTTATGGAGTTATGAAGGTACAGTTATAGAGTTATGAACGTACAGTTATTAACATATAGTAATAAAATTATTATGAACATATACTCCTATAACGAAGCGGTCTGAAATTAAAAAAAAAAAAAAAAAAAAAAAAACGATAACAGTGCCTAACTGGACACGGGTCTAACGCATAACGATTGATAAAATAATTATTAAAAAAAAAAAAAAAAAAAAAACAAGACTTAGTCTCCATTGAAACCAACAAAGCCCTAAGCTATAAAATAATTTAAAAATAATTATTAAAAAAAAAAAAAAAAAAAAACAGGACTTAGTCTCCATGGCAACCAACAAAGGCCTAAGCTATAAAATAATTATTAAAAAAAAAAAAAAACAAAAAAACAGGACTACAACATTCTTTGTCTAGGAGACCAAGACACTCTGTACCCTGCCATGCTCGAGTCATTGAGAGTTTCTACCTTCATAATTGTCTCCATATTTGCAGTTCCAACTTGGCCTTCAATTCCTTCTTTTTCTTCTTCTCATCAAGCTCCAGACCTTCCTTCCTTAGTTGCAGATACAAGCTTCTTTCCATCAAACTCCTTCAGGCTTCAACTGCCCAACGTTATACTCATCAATGGCATCAACCATGTAAAGGACCTCGTATCCCTTCTTCTTCAGCTTTTTCAGGAAGGGAGAGTTCTGCACGACCTTCTCACTTTCACCCGTAATGTAGTAGATATCATTCTACCCTCCTTCATCCCCGTCACATAATCCTTCAAGCTGGTCATTTCATCACGGCTCTCGTATGTGGAATGGTACCGCACAGTTCAACAATCTTAGTTTTGTTCAGAGAATCTTCATGGATACCAAGCTTCAAATTCTTGGAAAAGCCTCGTAAAACTTGTTGTAATCATCCTTGTTCTCTGCCATCTTAAAAAAAAAATAAAAAAAATAGGACTTTGTCCGAGACAAAGAATGTTTTTTCGTCTTTGGCTGGAGACTAAGGATGTTTCTCAGGTTTCTTTGTCTTCTTCGTGTCTCCGAGAGACAAAGTCTTTTTTTTTTTTTTTTTTTTTTAAATAATAATAATTTTTTAAAAAAATATTTTATACTATTTTATATTTAGGGTGACTGGTTAGAAACCAGTCATTTAGATGAATTACATGAAATTAGTTAGTTTAGGGATGCTTGACGGAATTAAGACTTGAGCTAATATCATGCATTAATCGTGCTAACTTTGATATGGAAGTTATGTATGAACGTAATGCTCATAACTTCCATCTAGACCTAGCTGCTATCTACTCCCCTTAGTGCTTCCATCAAGCCGACTCACTAATGTGAATAGGTTATACATAAGGGTGGGTTGGTTATATACTCTTATGCACGTTCCTTCTTCGAACCTTTTGGTATGTATTGCCCCCTAACTAAAGATCATATCTACCATACAATAAACTAAATTTCGCACGGTTGCTAAGTCGTCGAACTTATCCACCAAAGGATTCCGCGTTGAAGGAGTCGCGAAATGAGGATGAATAAAAATTAAGAGAAGAGAAAAGGCTAAAAAGACTTTTAAATGGGAGAGGTAAATTTATTTAAAATAATATGGATGGAAAAAGCTTTGAAGCTATTAGCTTATTTTTTAAATGCTTGTGTTTTAATATAAACTACGTAGTATTATTTTAAGTTACTAGTTTATTTTTGAACATTATCAAATAGAGCTTATAGCTTATTAATAGCTTAAAATAAGCTATAAGCTCTCAAAAATTAAAAATCTCAGAGATTGGTACACATATGAAGAAGATTGGACTAAGTATTTGCTTTGTTAACTCCACCAAACCTAGTTTCTAACATGTTGGATTTAATAATTTTATACCTTCTGACACTAGGGGTGTTGGGTAAATAACTATTAATTGATTAGGTTAGTGAGTTTAACTAGTTGATAGTATTAGCTTATTGTAGAAAAATGTTTGGTAAATTAGTTGTTAGTTGATAGTTGATTATATATAAAATGACTTTCTCAAAAAATTGATAAAAAGAACTAATTTGAGTAGCTTTTTGTATTATAACATAATGGTTGTATTATAGCTTTTTGTAATACCCCTTTTCTAAGGGTTAGGTAGTACTTTCTTGGAGGGCTTCAAATTTACCAAAAAAAAAATAATAATAATGGTTGTTTAACCAAATCAAATAGCTAATAATGATCAAATAAGCGAAAATTGACTGATAAACTAATTTTGTTACTAAATAGGGATATCATTGTTAACCAGGATATCTGTTTAATCTAACTTTCTTTAATTTGATAACTCGATTACATTTTCATTGTATTCTTATCCCTACACCTTATTATTATTATTTTAATATCTCAATGAAATGTTATGTTTGGCAAAAGTTGATTTAATAACAATAGTCATCCAAGCAGGGGGGCTATCAAAGAAGCACAATTTAGGAAAAGAAATGACAAAACATATGCACATTCTGAACTCTAGTTTGAGAAAGCCCCATAGAGATTTCAAATATATCTCAACATCACATTGAGCTTTAACATACAGGACTTGTTTATATAGTCAACTTTATTGTTCTGAGTTCAAACAATCCTACTCCAAAACTATCTATAATGTCAAGAAAATACCATATTTATACCAGAGGCCGAGGGATTTTTGCTGCCCAAAGAGCTTCCAAATTGGTGTTGAGAATTGCAGAGGAAAGCCAGCCTGATAGTTTGGTTCTGTGATGCCCTGCAAACATCAATACATTCCTCCAAATCTGCATCACATGTTAACAAAACCCACTCCAAGTCGTCGTCTAAGTATTTGAGCTGAAACCCCCTCGGGTCGTCTATGCCAAAACGCCTAGCGATTTCTTTCAGCACGTCTTGGTACCCCCACTGGCTCTGCAACCGGAACCTTATTTTTTCTTCCCCAAACGTGACTTTTACTCTCGGGCCGTCTTTTGTAGGTGGGAGACACTCGGACTTGGGGTGCTCGCTAAGAGATGCATGACTCTGGGATCTCGGGAGGGTGGTGGTCGTTAGTCCATCGTTTGACACGAGCAACTCAGCGTCGCTTTTAACCCTCTTTACCACACCGTTAACCGATTCTTCCCTGACAGCTGCTGCAGCTTCGGGAGCTGCAGCATGCAATGTGCAAGGACTTGGCTGAGTTCCACTCGAGCAACATTGACTCGAGCTCGAACTTTGGCTGCCCGAAGAGGAGGGCGACTTGGATGCAGAACCGTTGGGGCATACGTTTTCACCCTCGTGCTGCCTGTTTAAGAGGCTTGGATGTTGTTCATCTGATATTGGATTTGATCTCGAGACATTTGGAGATGCCAGTTCTGGGAAGTTTGAGTAGAAAGTTTCGATTTGCAAAGCACCCGAGGCACCTTGGACTGAATCAATCACTCGTCGAATCTTTTGTAAGGAGTGACCAACCTTCTTGATCTTTCGAGAAGGCCATCGCTTGATCCCGTGCTGTCTGCATATCCTCTTCAGGGTGGTAGGACAAACTGAGGACAAAGCAGAGATGATGAGGATGAAGAAAACAAAGTAGATTACAGCACAAGTGGAAAAAAAAAAAGAGTTTATACCCAATTTAGTTCTGACTATAGTGATTTTTCTAGATTTAGTACTAAACGTCTTTTTGTGCTTAATTAAAGTCCTGAACTTCAATCGTTTTACCTAATTGAGACTACAATTGATGACTAAATGGGTAAAACCACTATAGTCGAATACTAAACTGATAGATGGGAAATTACCAAGCTATCCTAACAGAAGACTCAGTTGGGTAAAACCATCGAAGTCAATGATCCAATTAAGTACAAAAAGGCGTTTATGACTAAATCGAGAAAAACTACTATAGTCGAGGACTAAATCAGACATTAGTCTGAAACGATGGAGCACAGGGGCATAAACACTTCAAATAGTGAAATGAAGTCATATATGAAAATGTGATTGCTTGAATGTAGTTTAAAGACGAATGCTTACCACCAAGACTCTTTGCAGCATCTTTTAGGCTACCAGCAAAGTATTGCTGAAGAATCTGCAACGTAATTGTTTTCTCTGCCTTCATACGCTTCTTATCTCCCGCTCTTCTCACGTTCTGAGCGCTTCCCTCCCCAGAAGTACTGTCAAAGGAAAGGCCTGATCCCGACACAAATTCAGGTAATCTTTTGTACAAGAGTTCACTCGGCTTTTCGTTCTGGAATGCTGAAGAGGACATGCAACTCTCTTGGACAAGCATAGGACTGGAAGTCCAGGATAAACCTTCTTCACAAGGCCCGATGGACGAATTATATTTCAGATTCGGGACTTCTTTATGAATTCTAATATCAGAATGTTTTGCTACTTTACTGGAAGGCGAAGTAGTCTCTTCCTCCAACTCTTGCTCGGTCACAACTCGTAAGGTTTGGCAAACGTTTTGTATAATGATGGATAGTGATGTTAGCATTCTTTTGTGTTCTTCGGGGCTCTTGCAATCCCGGGGCAAAAAGAACTCCAAGACGAAGTCTGTCGAGCCAGTGCAGGTGCTCCGGAGACGAATAGCTACAGCAGCTTGTAGCGAGAATATCCTCGCGTAGTGGGAGAGGGGGTACTCCGTCTTGCTGAAAGACGTTATATCAGCTGAAAAGCACGGTTGGTTAGTCATGAATGCCCTCCCGACAACGCCTAGACCTTTTAGCAAGTGGTGCTCGGAGCAAGCCTCGTGGAAGCCTTGTATACGGGGATCAGCAATGTAGCAAGCGGAATCCACCGTGGAAACGCAACGCAGAAGGTTCTCGTCGGAGTGACGGAGGCCCTCTTTACCTTGTTGGACACACGGGACCCAAGTCTGAGCTAGCGGCAGTTTGTGAGTTGCACAAGCAGATTTCAAAACCTCGAGGATTTCGGGTAACACCACTTGGTAGCTATGGCATGTCTGATAAAAGTAGACAGCATATTATGATTCAAGAAATAATTCGTAGCTAAATATATAGCATCGTTTTGCAGATTTCATCCACCTTACCTTCACATTCCTCACATTCGAGATTTTAGAACCCCTGAGATCAACCTCCTGCAGTTCAATTCAAGAGAATAAAAATGACAGATTTCAAAACCAAAAAGCACTATTTTCTCTTCTTTTGGTAATGTTACTTTTTTTTTAGTACTACTGACTTTGTTACAATGCAGTATCTGTTCATAACTACTTTCTCAACCCACAACCTCCCGCTACCCGAATGTGCGCTCTGGGTGAAGCCCGCCTTATGACCTTAGCCAGCAAAGGACCACAAGGCGGTAAAATTAGCCTAGATTGCCCCTAGCTGACCGGCTTAAACCAAGAAGGCCAATAGAGAGCTCCCGCGGGGAATCAAACTTGTATATACAATTCATTCTGGTGATAGTTAAACTAGTTTCTCACCCCTCGAGTGGTGTTCCTGGCTAGTCTAAAATTCAAAGTTTCGCAAATCATAATGAACGAGAAATAGAAGAGCCAAGCATAAGTGATTACAAACCTCAAGAGCTTTGCAGACACTATCGAGCTCATTACGGTACTTGACCTTCTGTGTGGTTAACACAACTTCAATGACACCTAAACAAGTACGACTTCCTTGATCGAAAACTGGAACAGCAAAGGTGCCTCGAACATCATAGCGCTGTGCATGGCCAACTCGCGGGTACTCTTCCCTCTTGAAAAGCTGCACATCTGGAGTCCACTCGGGTACTTTCCCCAAAAACACACGCCCCGGCAGCCCAACATTTTCTTGTGAATCCTCCTCGACGGGGAACTCATAGTTAATGGAGATGTCTCTGTAGTGGGCGAGCCTCGGGCACTTAAGGTCTAGCTGGAAAGGTTGGTCACCAGTAACAAGCACACGCCTACCATCCCGGTTTACTGGAACCCAAATTTGGATAAGCACATCCTTGTCTCTCGAGAAATCTTTGATATACCCAAGCGCCTGAATCAACCTGTCCATTACCGAGGTTGTAGCCATCGGTCCAATCCACCACCTCCTGCTCAGCTCCGAGCTTTCAGCTAGTCCCGAAGAGCAGACAGCATTACTGCCATTCTGACCAAAACACTGAACTCTTTCGGTATGAAATTGGCTTGCCGATAAATTCTCAGGCAGAGAAGACTTCTTCCTTTCTACCTCACTTTCCTTCATCAATTCACCATTGTTGGGTTCTAAATCTGGCAACACGTATGAAGGCTCGAAAAGCGCATTAGCATTGAAGGGGCTATGCTGAAAGAATTCAGATCCATCGGTCGTCTCCAACCAACACCCCTCGAATAGTAGATCATCCAAATCCATGAAGGAGGAATCAGATGTTGTATTCAACACAATAGAAGAAGGGAAAACACTCTCATCCATTGTCTAAAATGCTAATTTCCTCAAATTCCCATTATGTGTTTCTGTTCTTGGCCAGACAATAGCTAATTGCAAAGAAGAAAGCACCAAACTTTTGAAAAGAAAATCTGCCCAAAAGAAAAAACACAAAAAAGCTCCAATTAAGCATCTCTAAAGCTCCCTAAAAATGCAATAAAAGAAAGAAAGAACTTTTGTATTGAATATTAGATAATCAAGTAGTCTGAAATAGGACCCAATATATTCCTTCAAGTTGGATCTCTAAGAGAAATAATTTACCTATTATTACTCCAAAACTATCTCTTATAGCTCTTTAAAGATGCAAGATTCCTATGTTAAGAGAGATGAAAAGTTTGAATAGATACCCAAATGAATACAAACATTCTCAATTAGCTAATGATGCAATCCATTCAACCATAACAAGATTACCCACCAAAAGAACATCAGAAACAAAGAGAAGAAACCCAGACAAAATAGGAAAGAAAGAAAGAAAAGAAGAGCAACCTCCGTACAGAAAAAAGATTCTTGGATATTCCAATTCCCAGGATGGGTATTTTTCTTGCTTTTTATTTAAGCAGTATATATATAAATATATATATTGATTTTGTTGAAATAAATACCCAGGAATATTGTTGTGGTTGTCTGAGAAGGAGGAACATGAACAACAAATGATGTGGGCTCTGGGCAAAAACACTCTCTTCCCCTCCTACTACTTATCTCATCTTAGGCTATTCTTAGTTTCTTACCAAACTCTGATGAATGATGATTCTCTCAGAGCTGCCAGCCTGCCTGCCTATTCAAGGATGGAAGATTCTTCCTTATTATTCACAGAACAGCGGGCGGCCCCACCATGAAGCTCTTTGGGATTCCCGTATCCAATTCAACTACAAACTCTCTAACCCCAAAACCCAAGTTTAAATCAAGGATGGATATATAAATATATATAGAACAACAAAAACAATAAAAAGCATGAGCTGTCAAAAATCAAATGATACATACTGTAAATCATGCTCACCCCTCCTTTCTGACTCTACAATGCTCCCTCTCCATTCATACATTATTATAATATATAATTACCACGTGGTTAGCTCAATTAGTTCAATCGATAACATTAAAATCTACTTAAAATCTACTATAAGACAGTATAAGGAGTTTGAATCTTACTGAAAATATGACAATTTGCTCCTCCCCTCACCCTTCCCCAGTCCCCACCTCCTTATATATAGAAATTAGAGAGTTCTACATGTACTTTTTATTTTTACATAGATTTAAATAGACCGTGTTTTTGTACAACCGGTGCAGATTTAACATTAGATATTTAAAAATACACTACACAGTGTTTAGAAATGTACTAATACATCATAGAATGCATTATACACTAGAAAATGCACCATATCATATTATACCTAAAAAAATTTAAACACTTTATAATGTATTTATGCGTACTTTATACTTAAAAAGATGATAGAAGATTTTTTTGTGCACATAATGTAAAGTAAGGGATAAGTACTGAGGAGGGCGTAAGCGTATAATATATATATATATATATATATATATAAGTGCTGTAAAGTAGAGCTGAGGTCCAGCATTGTATATGTATACGTTGGGCGGTCCCCACATGGAGATGACGGACGATAGAGCGGCTTGGAATCTGGGTAGAGCAGGATTCTTGCGTAGATTCCTATAAAACTATATTAATAAATTAATAATTAATAAATTACGATAAAAACAAAATGAAAAAGAGTGCGCTGTGCAACTGTTGCCTGTTGGGAGTGTTTTGTTTGCCTGCCACCTTCCTTAATGCCAACACCAACCCCAACCCTGCACCACTTGCCCCAATTTTTCTTTTTATAACTACTATTCTACATTTCCACCATTTTTATACAAATTCTACTACATATACTCTCAAATCATACTTCCTAAATTTTACTCATTAATATAACAAACACTGATAATATTATTTTTTTCATGTGGATCCCAATACAAGTATTTATTTCAAAATTTTGTGTGTGGGAGTAAAAAATAGGAATACATGTAGTATTTCCCTTTTTTTTATACTCCATTATATATATCTTTTTAAAATACTCATGATTTTTTACAAGATAATATATATTTTATACTTTTTCAAATATTTTTAGTCTAAAGAATCTAATTTTTCTCACCACCGAAGTTCAAACCTATGACTATCCATTTTAAATGGTAATCACAATGTTATGGTTTATACTCCATTATATAATTTTAAATCAAAGTAAATTGTAAACCTATAATATTTATTTAAAACTTCTATTAATTAAACTCAATTTTGCTTCATGGCATGCATCCCAGTTGCTCTTTAGTGGTCATAGGTTTGAACTCCGATGGTGAAGACTTAGACTTTTTGGGTTAAAAATGTTTTAAAAAGTATAAAATAGATACTACATTGTAAAAATTATGAATACTTAAAAAAAAAACTTAAACAATTAAATTCTTAGTATTGTCAATTTGCAGAGAGTCTTTAAAAATTAGACAAGGTGTGCAATAATGCATATTGTAGCTCACAAATTATGCCCTGGAAACGTGTTCACCGTGAATGGTGAACACAAGTCCAAACGACGTCGTTTTTACGCAAAAAAAAAAAAAAAAAAATCGCGGATGTGGAGTTAACGACGCGCGTTTGTTCAAATTATGAATTTTCTGTTATGAGATTATGAATGTAATGTAAATTCATAATCTCATAACAGAAAATTCATAATCGCATAAAAGTAAAATATTTATTAAATTATGAATTTTCTGTTATGAGATTATGAATTTTCTGTTATGAGATTATGAATGTAATGTAGATTCATAATCTCATAACAGAAAATTCATAATCTCATAACTGAAAGTTCATAATCTTATAACAGAAAATTCATAATCTCATGTACTAACACCGTTGGAACCGTGTTCATCATAACAGGGTTCCATGGCATAACGATTGATTGTAGCTAGCCAAGACCAGTAGCTATGAAATTCCAACCCTTTTAATAAAATATTTTTATTCCACCTACGTTGGTTTGGATGGGCTAAAAGTATAAATTTTGTCATATATATATATATATATATATATATATATATATATATATATATAAAGAGTCATATAAATATGATAAATATAAACCACGTAAATTTTAAGTTGCACCCATACAAAATTACTACGCCTCCTTTTTATAACTAAAATAGAAAGTGTACAATTTGTTATAATTACAATTTCATTACATTAATAAAGAGATGCTAATTTTCTCCCTATGCTCTTTAGGGTTTTGTCACTCCCTATTGTTTTCTAGGATTTCTCCAGTAGATTCTTGTCGATTTTCTCTACGCATGCTGGTGCGGTACTTGCTGGAGTGCTTGACTTCAATGGCTTCTTCTTTGACTGAGGACGTTGTGGCTGATTTAACAACTCACTATGCCGACATACTGTTGGAAGAGGAGGAGGTTGGTTTACAACCAGAGGGGGGGGGGGGGGGGGGTTCAACCTGGGACTGGAGTGGATGTCGAGTCATGGATTCTTGTGGGTAGGTTCCTTATTGAACGTCTAGTCAAGCTAGAATACATGCAACAAATTATGGCGTCAATTTGGAGGCCAATGATGGGGTGCAATTACTAAGATCCAGTCGAATCTGTTCATGTTTGTCTTCTACCACAAAACTAACATGCAACGAGTTATTGAGGATGGGCTCTGGTCGTTTGAGAACAGTACTCTAGTGTGCAAACAGGTTGGAGTTGGTGAGTTGCGAGGGTAGGTAGTTCTTGACATAGTTGATATATGGCTGCAACTTCATGACCTTCCAGTAGGTTACACATCAGACGTGATCATTGAGCGGATAAGAAATTTCATCGATACCTTATGTAGTGTGATGATAGGCACTTAGGCAAGTTGGAGGGCCATGGAGAGCTTTATATCGTGTCCGGGTCTCTATCCCTGTCACGAGACCTATCAAACGACGAAAGAAGCTAATCAAGCGTGATAAGTCTTGGTGTTGGGTGTCATTCAAGTACAAGCGGCTTCACACCTTCTTTTTTTTTTTTTTTTCAACGGCTTGTTGGGACATACCGATAAATTTTGTTTGAAGGCACAAGAGGCTAATGTTCCAGTTGAGCAGTACCCGTATGTGGCATGGTTGCGTGCGGGGTTAAAGAAGAGACCGAGAGCTATGGGTGACCGATGGTTACTGCCAGCAGGAGGTTTACCTTGTAAAGATGAGGTTGCGGAGCAGGGAGCTAAGGGTAAGGGTGTGACGGGTCTCTCGGTGGTGTATGGCGGGTTATGGCTTCTATACCCGCCGTCATCATGAGTATTATAAGTTGGAATTGTCGTGACTTAAGCAATCCACGTATAGTTCATGAAGTAGTGGACATGTTGTCCTGCCAAAAGCCTGATTTTGTGTTTCTGATGAAGACTAAGGTGGGCGGGCGCATGATGAGCGTCTCCATGTCAAGCTTGGTTTCGAGGGGTTATTCTATGTTGACTGTGCAAGGTTAAATAGCGGCTTAGCTTTGTTAATTGTTAACGAAAATTACATTTATCATATAATTTAAGTACTAATAGTGTCATATTTTATTTTTCTTAATAAAAATTATACTTAATAATTAATATATTAAGGTCACCCTCCTTAAACGGCATGTTGATGTAGACATAATTTATTAATTATTTGATTTTGTTGGAGAGGAAATACTGTAAAAGGAAAAACAATTTTGGGGCGTGGGGTGCATATCATGATAAGAGCGCGTTGGGAATTAATGAATTATAGCACAAGAATCTCTATTTATCTCTATTTTTAATTTGCGTCATCAAGGTTGCAGTCTTGCAGTTGGGACCACCAATAATATTTGATTTGCTTAAAGTTAGATCTAGGTTTAGCAATTGATTTCATTTAAAAAAAATTATATTTTTAGTGTGCAACTTGCATTTCTATATTTATGATGTCAGCATGTAGAAATGTCATGCATGTGAGTTAAATTTAATATTTACAGTATCGTAAATATCATCACTAAGCAAGTGCTGGTAGTGAGTGATGCTTTGAATTTTATTTTATTTTTTATGAATTAGTATAAGAATTTATTCTTATAGGAATATATTGGGCGTATATTGCACATATCGACATTATTCAACTCTTTCTATGCTCTTTCTGAGCTCTGAGGTAGAGAGGCTGACCCACTCGGGTATTTGCAAGCAGAGCCTTCGATAAACTATTTATATTCATATTCGGTAAAAGTTTGTTTATTAAGGAAAACGAACATAAATGAATAAATTTTAGAACTCATTTAATAAATGAACAGAATATTTACGAACATTTGCATATATGCTTGTTTACTAAGAGCCCGTATGTGAATGCATTCGTTAGTGCTCGTTTAATAATGTTCATATACAAACCTACTCATTTAGTGTTCGGTTAAATGTTTACAAACACGCCCATTTAGTGATCATTTAAGATGGTTCACAAATAGACTCATTTTGCCACCTCCTCACTCATCTCTCATCACGTCATCGGCTTCCTCATTGTGTTAGCTACTCACTTCATCCCCACTCTTAAGATCAATTGTCTTGATTTTTTGATTTTGTATTTTAAAAACATTTATTCTGATTATAGGGTCATACATAACCAAACATCACTATTAGTAATCATTTCAATTCCACCCTACTACCAAACATGCAAAATACTTTCACCAGAACCCATTTCAGTTACCAAGTATTTGACTTTAATTCTGATTTCGATTCCCATGTCCGAACCAAACAAACCCTTATTATGTTTAAACTAATAGTAGTATGATAGATTTTGATACATATGATCAACACGGATCCCCTGTGATAGTTATTATTATTAGAAAAATAGTATAAAATGGCATTGAAAGTGATTATTTTGTGGTATAAATATATGTGAGATCTACTTTCGATT